GGTTCATTCACTTGTATGAATGCGACACTAGACAAGGTTTGAAGTAGAGAGAAATGTCACATGTTTTCTCTTCAAAATCTTACGTAGAAGAAAATTCACACAAAGGGAAGTTTTGAAATCAACTCCTGAACGAGATATCAACAAATCGATGGTAAAACTGCAGAAATGTATATCACGGTTTGTGTCGTTGCAGACTACCGGTCATATTTTGCCTACATGAACATTTTCTAAACATTTTCTGCTAATTTCAGTGATTATTATTCTTCTTATAAAGAATATTCTGTGAAAATTTCAAGCCATGATGTTGGTTGGGTCTCTATTTAAAAAATAAAATAGGAGCGGAGATTTCGAAACGCCGGATCCCAGGTGTGCGTTTTTGCCGTTATCACCGGCGATAACGTGGTCATGAAGAGGATAGTCAGTCATTTCGAATCAAGTGCCAGGTTATTCGCGTCGCAGGAATTCAAAGTTTTCTTTCAAATTCATCCAACACGTTCTTATCATTTTATCACGCAAAATTTTAAGTAAAGTAGGCAATTAGTTAGCAAGTAGGCATTCAATAGGCAATGTTTGCATTAAGTTTCGATGGAAGAGAAACGAGAAAATCGCTCTCTGCGTGTGTCGAACGCGTCGAACACTATTTTTCATTTTACATCCAAGATGCAACTATTCGGGCTCTATGGATGTCCGTGTTGCATACGCACGGGATTGAAGGCGTTTTGACTGTTCAAGCATTCACCATTTCACCCGCGGCCCGCGGCCCACCACGACGCGACGCGGCGCCAATGGCAGGCTTTACTGCGAGGATCCAAACTTGCATATCTATTTCAATTCTTCGTTTATCCTACAAAGATATCATCCAGGCACAAATAGTTGTGTACAGGTGTAGGATGTGAGTATCTCTTTTGCTATAGTTTTGATATCGCAATGTGCTGAGCATGATTCGTATAGAGCAACTATCCATACCTATAAGAAATGCCTTTGAAGTATAAATAAAGAATCGAAGGCACTCCGTCATTTTAGATCCTCAAAAAATTGGACATGAAAGTTTCCGCTAAAACGACAAATTTTGATGTTAACTTCTTCACATTGTGAATTGTATGGAGTGCTTCTTCAAGAAAATATGAGAAAATCAATGAAACCTCTTCTAAAACCTCTTCGTTCCATATTGACAACGATATGTGCTTTCAATTTTTCTACATTTTGTATGATTCCTATTTTTAACTCGCTCCACTGAGCGCCGCCGGTGAGGTGGTGAATGTTTGCAAAACGCCTTCACTTTCGTGCGTATGCAAAACGGACATCCATGGAGCCCAAAAAGTTGCATTGAGGAAATACTTGCATTAATGAAATTCGCTTAGTATACGTGGCTTGCGACAATAACTGAATGATCGTTTCTCTTGCGCACCTTAACTTAATTCCAACGTTGCCTATTGTGCCGAGGAGGTAACCCATTACCGATTTTTATTGCGGCATCGTTAATTTTTCGAAAAACGCATTATTCCTGGTGTGTGACCACACTACGTGACCGACCCTTACAATCGCAATAGTTTCGGGAGCTGAGCAAAATATGCAGAAATTCCTTTCACCTGCTTCAATGAGTCGCCTTTTGTTTTGAAATCTGTTGCATCACTAGCCCAAATACACGTTCATGATTTCCTTGGTACAATGGCGAAGATATAACACAATAAATGCTGGTAAACATATTCGTGAAAATTAAATTTTTCTCTTCTTTTTCTCTCTGACTGGAAAAAAAACACATTGGATCTAGAGTCCAGACTCTTGAAAACATTGACAAGAAAAAATACTCTTGATTCAATCGGATTTTTGCTTGAATCAAAACGGAATCCGCATAAATTAAGAGGCTTGGTTCTTGATTTAAGCTAGATTCTGATTAAATCAAGAGTACTTCTTTTTGTCGATGTTTTTAAAAGTCTGAACTCCAGATCCAATGTGTTTTTTTTTTCCAGTGTACAACGTGATCGACCCTTACAATCGCAATAATTTAGGGAGCTGAGGAAAATATGTAGAAATTCCTTTCACCTGCTTCAATGAGTCGCCTTTTGTTTTGAAATCTGTTACATCACCAGCCCAAATATACGTTCATGATCTCCTTGGTGCAATGGCGAAGATATAAGACAATAAAGGCTGGTAAACATATTCATGAAAATTAAATTATGTTCTTCTCCTCCCTTCTGCACATGTGAGCGACGTCTAGTTTTATTTAAAATCTGACATCCTGCGTAATAAATAAGTTGTAGCACCGAGCCTGTTGGAAAGATAGAAGTGGATTTGAAGTGGTTGTGCTTGTGGCCTCTTAATCAATCTCATAATGACTCAGTTCCCTGCATCGACGCTTGTGGCGCTGTGGTGTGGGAGTTTGTTTTTAGAAAATTATTCATGATGGCACTCGAACATCTAATCACCAGGAACCTTTCAGCGTAATGGTTCCCTCGCGATGACATTAGTCGAACTGATTGTTCGCGGAGATACATGCAGTAACTTCGCTGTGTTTGTGTAGGTCATTCTCACGTCAAATTTTGTCTCGTCTAAGTTTCCACGTTAAATTTACGCTTTTCATCTTTAAATAGGCCTGTTGCCCAATTTTTTTATCGCCTCACTGGAAAAAAAACACATTGGATCTAGAGTCGAGACTCTAGAAAACATTAATAAGAAAAAATACTCTTGATTCAATCAGATTTTTGCTTAGATCAAAAGGAAATCCGCTCAAATTAAGAGGCTTGGTTCTTTATTTAAGCAAAAATCCGATCGAATCAAGAGTATTTTTTCTTGTCAATGTTTTCAAGAGTCTGGACTCTAGATCCAATGTGTTTTTTATTCCAGTGCTGTATCGAAAGAACTAAAGATCCTGACGTCTCAGGAATATTCCCGGAGTTTTATAACCACTGGAAATACCCCCAAAAATTAACTTAAAAACGCACGAAATTTCGGATTTTCAAAACGGTCACTTTTACGCGAGAACGGATCCGCTACTTTTGTGACGTCTCAGTACAAGACAAACCTGTTCTCCTCATCGTTTACAATGTCTTTTTCCGTAAGAAATTGGCAGCCGCATGATGAAGAGACCAGGTTTGTCATGTACTGTGACGTCACAATCGCCTCCTAAGAATGTATTGCGGAGGCCCCTAAGACGCCGTGTCTACGTTTCCCCCATTAGTACTTTTTTCTCCCTAATTTGTCAATTTCTAACTCTCATTAATATCTTGAATTCTTTGACCGAAAGTCTCAATTTTTTATGACTCCCTGCTTAGTTGCGAAAGTTTGCAATGCTGCATACTCCAACGACTGGATGGAAATTATCCCTTGCAGTACTTAAGTTAAGCCACTGCATTAATTTAAATTTTTTGCTGAATCTGCCGCTCTTTACGCGGTGATACATCAGCAAGTCCCTTTTTCAGTGTCCCCTCCATTTCAAAAACTATGTCTGGGGTATCAACAATACTCATCGGACTTGAGACCAGTGGTGATTCGTAAAAGTTAGCAACTCTGTTTTTCCTCCATTTAAATCCATTGAAAATATCGACTGTAGGTGAGACAGATTGCCTCACCAAGAATCGATTGTTTTATGTACATTTAAACGGTGGAAACACAGTGTTGCCAACTTTCAAGAATCACCACTGGTCTCGAGTCCGATGAGTATTGATACCCCAGACATGGTTTTTTAAATGGAGGGGACACATCGACCTCATAAGTACCGCGCGCGTGACGGCTAAATCAAGAAATACTTTGAACAGGAGTCGATTTATTATCGGAGGCATGAGCAAGTTGATGAGGTAGGCGTCGGAATGAATACCGATTTTCTCTTCTTGCGTGGTCCCTGCATCGCGCAAAAATGAAGGTCATTTGATGTTCGGCAGTCAGTTTTTGTTGACTGGTTTTGCTCCTGTGCTAAGATATGTAAGCGTATTTCCCCAGTTCTGGCGTCTAAATATTCATAAGCTTGCCAAATCGCCCGGTGAGCTTCATCTCGACAGAATTAAAAACTACTCAGAAATCGGAATCTGGCAACCATGTTTTCTCATTTGCTCAAAATCTTACATTTCTGTACTGCCGTGCTAAGGAAGAACGTCGTATGAACATTTGAGATTTGCCAAATTTCTCTCAAGAAAATGTTTAATTTTGAGGAAAGTTACGGATATTTTCCCTTGAAATTTTCAGAAGCTTCAAAAGGAATTGCGAAAGGCACTATCTGAAAAATTGAAAGCAAAATATTAATAAGTTTACCAGGAAATTTGCGTTTTATCAATTGAAATTTGGCAATACCTAAAGGTTCATACGGCGCTTTTCCTTAGCACGGCAGTATACGGTTTCAAGATCAATACATTTCTGTGAATTTTCTCGTTACAGAATACCTGCGACTTTAAATGCTTACTGAGCGGTGTTTTGTGTTTTATGAATGTTTCAAAAGAGATTAAGTCAATAAAAAACAAATAATCTTGCAGTTTCTCTCAACAAATTTGTCTTATAATGACCGCTCCGCGGTCCAACCCTTCGAAGCGCTTCGCGTCTCAGGCGTCATGCGTTACGCGTTACTCTTACGATTACGTGTACTGCCGTGCCAAGGGAAAACGCCGTATGAAACTTCAGGCGTTGCCAAATATCCTCTGATAAAACATGAATTTGCTGGTAAAGATATGAATATTTTTCTTCCGATTTTTCATATAATTTTGTTCGCAATTTCACCCTAAGCTCCTGAAAATTTCAAGGAAAAATATTCATTACTTGCCTCAAAAATAAACATTTTATCGAAATGGGGGAACATTTTAAGGAAATTTGGCAACTCTGGAATGTTCATACGGCGTTCCTCCTTAGCACGGCAGTATATAAGAGAATATGATTTGAAATTTATATAATGTGATGCTATCAATCACTGACAATTACAATCTGAGCACTTATGTGTGAAATTCATGTTTGCTTGAGCGTCTCATAATTTCATTGTTCACCTATTAATAAATCCATATTTCTTCTTTTTGTTGCAGATGCGTGTCTGTTAGACTGATCTCTGGAATCTACCATCTACGTGACGAAATGTCTTCGATTTTTCATCTCCCTCGAAGAAAGAACATTCTCCTCTCGGTAGAGGCGTCTGAACGTTATCACCACTAGCTTAACGTGTGATTCTAAACTCATCTTATTGTTAGTGACAATTCTCGGCGATATATTATCTTGAGGATTATTTTTATCCCGACGATCATTGTTGTCTCTAGCGTTACGCAAAAAGCTTAAAGAAAATTTAATACGCCAGCCACTTTTCAAATTATGCAAATCTCTGGGTATTTTACCTGCGCGATCATACAAGTTGTTTCGTAAGAATCGCGCGACGGTTTTGTGCATTTTTTATGGGATACATAACTGCGCGTGGTGAAAATTTTCAAAAAGCAACCGTGCGAATTTTATCATAGTCTAATCGATTAATTCCCTCATAGTGCGACATTAGTGCGACTGCTTAGTTCGGCGTGTAATGGAAGCTTGAAAACGGTCATTTTCTGCACCGTGAAGTAGTGTCGTTATCATCGTCACCTTTCACCTTTGTTATCAGCCCAAGTTGAGGCGGGGCGGGGGGTAACCTCACAATGTTTCGGTCGTAGTCAGCAAGCACCGATGGCAAGTAGTGCGGGAGCCTGCAGTTTCTACAGCTCGAAGAAAACGACCCGAAAACGGAAATACTTTTGGACGAAAAAGCGGAAGATATTGTGTCCTCGACGCCAGGTCTCTCATGTGTCGTGAACAGCGGCTCCGCGAGGAACCTGTCTCCGATCCGGTTCGGGGCTGGGGGGGCTCACTGACAACTTTACTAATACATTCAACAGTCCATATTAATTTTAATTAATTAGTGCTTAACATGTTTTGAGACTGCTCCGGTTTTGTTTTCGAAGTACCGTTTTAGGTGCGCGCGACAGTGCGGTGATATTCGTGATCTCTTCGATAATTTGTTTATAAAAAAAATCGTCTTTCGATAGCCTACCAGTAAACACGTCGCTCACTCACCGATTAGTATACAATTCTGTTTTAAAAATTATAATTTGTTGTGGGTATGCCCGGAAAATTGATGTGTGCAGGGTAGTGGCGCCCTCTTGCGGTCGTGTCCGTGGATTTGGATGTGTTCCTTCGACCCGCGCTCTCGAGTCAACGTTGGTGACGACGCGGAAGCGCTCAACGGAGCCGTCAGCAAGTCACGCAACAAGTTGGTAGAATGCGCCGCAAAGGTGAAGCGCGCGCTCACCGGTGAGTCACCGAGGGCGATCGGCGCCAAAGCGAAAAACTCGCCGCCCCCGGAGGAGATCCTCGCCCGGGGCCCGGCGACAACGGAAACCGGTGGATCGTCAACGGAACTGTCAACAAAGAACACCTTGCGCCGCGGAAACTCGAGCGGGGAGCCGGAATCGTTATTGTATTTGTTCAAACAAAATTCCGACCGACTATCCGAGTGTCGCAACCGGGCGACGCATGTGTCCGCGGAGTGGTTCGCCGCGCGAGACAGTTCGCAGTCGGAAAACGAGTGCGACTCGTCGGAAAAACGCTCTTCCAACGAAAGTTCAACGGGGAATCTCGACGGATGCACCTCGCAGCATTCCACCCGCGTTCAACCTCCAACCGGTGTTAAGTGCGACCACGGCGGATTTCAAAGTGACACCAGTACTTATATTTATGATAGTGCGGATTCTAGAAATATTGTTGAGTTGGGAAACTGTGCTAAAGATAATACCGTTAATAACTTGCATTCCCCACCTTTCGATTCTAGAAAAGAGTGCGTTGGCAATAGCGCGGAACCGCGGGATCTCAAGGAATCGGACCGCGCTTTCTTCGGAAGATTTTCCGACTTGTACTCCATCGGCTTGTCCGAGAGTCGCCTTTGCAAGGGTGATCCAGGAAGTCAAGGCCGCGGCGCTCACGAGGCGGATCGCCCGATAACACGGTTGACGCATTCGGAGCGACTCAGCGAAAAGACCAGCGCTCGCGACGCGCGCGAAACAAAGGTCGCGGCGAAAACCGCTGAGCCCGGCGCGAATTTCAAACGGCCGCCGAAACTCAGCGATAAGGCCATCAGTCATCTGCTAGCCTTCCAACCAGGCAGGAACCCTTCGATCCACGGCGTCGCGCCCAGCCACGCGGGTTACTCGAGGTTCGGGGCTGCGGTTCCAAGTGCGAAACTTTCAAGGTCGCGCGGTGCTCAAGGCCACCCTGTAGGAGGCGCTCGAGGTCACGCGAGAGGGAGCGTTCAAGGTCACGCGAGGGGTAAAATTCCGACCGCGTTGGGTCCACGTAAGATGAAACTGCGGGAGCGGTTGGTGATCGGGCTGAGTATCTCCGCGGTGCTCTTCACCCTGGTGCTAGTGATCGATCTCCAGCTGGACATCGGCATGAGCGGTCACCATCTCCAGTCCCTGCCGGCCCATGCCCGGCTCAAGTACGGCGACCAGGGCGTGGACTCGGTGAGGAGCATCTACAACTCCTTCGGGCGGAAGTTCCTCCAGCGGAACTCGGGGGGTGACGCGTCAGTGCAGAATAATTCGGGGGGAGGGCAGCTGGATAAAGTGAGGAGCAGCACGCGGACTTACTTCGTGACGAACAAAGTGCACGATAGGTTCCGGGACCTGGAGGAGTACATGTTCAACAACCCCAACGACGGAACCCGCGGGGATTCGGCCGGCATCGAGCCGATCGTCGTCAAAACGACTGAAGAAGACGATGCCAAGGACGATCATGCCACCATCGGCCAACTACTCAACCAGAATCTCAGGTGAGCAAAATTGTGCAACGCTTTGCTTCCATTTATCACAGGTTTATCTAATCATTGTCACGGGTCAGAATGCAGCCGTCAATAATTGAATCAGTGAGAACGAAAACACACCAACTCGATAAAATGAAAATAATCGAGAAACATGCAAAACTGCACGGTAGTTGAAGAAGTTAGTACAAGAAAAAGAAGTTTGGTGCCGAAAGACAAGTGCTAAAGGACGCTTTAAAAGTCCAAGTTGGAACAGATGCGTTAACTTCAATGACCTTTATGTAAATTGACTCTCTTTAATGAAAGTTAAGCATTTTTGAGTTACCGAGTTGGTGTGTTTTCGCTCTCACTGATTCAATTGAGGAGTTTGAAGGACAAAGTGCATAGGTGCAGTTTTTGCTACTTCGAGAAATACGTGTTTAAAGTTTCGAAATCACACGGATCCATATGGCGGAAAGAAAGTTCAAACTGACTTGTTAGTGCTTAAAAATTGGAATTAAGGAGCGAATTTTTCACAGAAAAGGCATTAAGACCATTTTTACTTGAAATCATCAAAAGGTATCTAAATTTTTTTCAAAACCTGCGCTTATGCGCCTTGCCCTCCAAGCCCCTCAATTAATTTTTCCGAACGCAGAGTTTCCACGTCTTATTTTAATGGATACATTGTTCTTTGAGTAAAATGATGTTTGTCATTTAACGTGGTGGTGAATCATATCTTCCTCCACTTTCTTTTTATTAGTTTTATCCGTCGGGCGATCAGTGGAAGGGTGCGTACCGAAGTCCGAACTTCTGGCCCGAGAGTCAAGCAGGCATGACCAAAATGTAGGTCCACTATTGGTGCTCACGATCAGTGAAAATGTCCGGTTTAAATTGTTCAGTCGTAAAAATGTCCATCGTATAATGTCCAATACCCATGTTAACATACCGTAATTTCCATACGTTTTATACCCTAAAGTGCTTTTAAGAAGTACGTGTGTCTGGTGTAATTTCAAAATAATCCCAATGCTATACGCAAAAGTAATGAAATGAAAGTCTTATTCTTATCTTAAAACCACGTGGCTTTTCCTTCGAAATCGCCATCGCAAACTCAACTCATTGAGCAAGCTAAGCAATTTATAATCTACGTAATTAATGAATAATGGATCAGACGTATCTATGATCACATTAAGAAATATGCCTCTGGTGGCAAGTATTCTCATTAAACTTACCACGTTCAAATATAGCGGTGACTTTCAAAATCTCTTGGGTTTCATATTTTTTAATGATTGGCTCTCTTCCTCGAGCCTTTCTACGCAGTATGAAGCAATCCTGGATGAACTAGAAATGTTTACACTAAAAAATAAGTTACGGGCCATATAGGGCTATATATATTTCGTAGAAAATTCCTGCGCTTTTAGTAGGAAAATGAAAGTTTACAGATGTGGTCAAAACTGTAAAGTGTGTGTGTGATTACGTTCTAATAATCCCCCCATATTTTCCTGAAATTTACCTTTACTGCGTGCTTCTCTTTCTGTCGATTTCGCCTTCAACAACTGTGATGACAATATGAGCGGCTTGAAAGCACGAATAGTTGCGTTCAGTGGTTTTCTCACTTCTGAACAGTCGAAAAAACTCGAAGAATATGTGTACGATTCTGCGACTAATGGACGTATTCATGCTCAAAGGAACTATGTTGCACGCAGACTCATTGTAAATAGTCCTTTCTAGCAAAAATACGTCCTAATCATAGTCAGGCCAAAACAATTTTGTTTCCTATTTTTGAAACCGTCATTTTTCAGTTCTGGAATTTCTGATTTCTGCAATCAATAGGCGCTGTTTGGTAATACTGGAAAAAAAAACACATTGGATCTAGAGTCCAGACTCTTGAAAACATTGACAAGAAAAAATACTCTTGATTCAATCGGATTTTTGCTTGAATCAAAACGAAATCCGGTTAAATTAAGAGGCTTGGTTCTTGATTTAAGCTAGATTCTGATTGAATCAAGAGTACTTTCTTTTGTCGATGTTTTTAAGAGTCTGGACTATAGATCCAATGTGTTTTTTTTTTTTTCCAGTGAAGGAAATCGACCAATAAATAGTAACAAAATGCCAATTTTTTCGATTTTCCGAAAGTTGAATAACTTGGATATCTTTCCTTTAGACTCAGTGCGCCTCACACGTTATTCGCGGAATAATAGTTCGCAGAAAAGAAGCACTGGAATGAAAACTTAGGTTAAGGTGCTCGAGCAGTCTGTGCGTCCGCAACTCATCTTTCTCTCAAATTACGGCCCTCTCTCCAATCCGATCGGCCCATCTTTTCGTGCGTGTTATTTGCAGAATCTCCCAAAAGAAAAGCATGAGGAAGGAAACCCGGATTAAGGTGTTCGATTAGTCTGTGCGTCCGCGAGTAATTCATTTCCCTCAAATTACGGCGGCTCCTCTTTTCAGCTCAATCGGTAGCCCGGGCCCTGGTCCTGATGCGCGGCCGTAGATCGTAGATCAGTGCCGTCAATTATTTCGAGCAGTTCCCTCTTTCCTCTTTTCCAACGAATCTTTCGGGCGAAATTATTTTGATATATTGATGGAGAGAAAAGTGTCCAAATCACTGTCTTGCCGGAATTTTCCCCGCCGTGGTGCCGCCCCGCTTCGCGTTCCCGTGCAATTAAGTCCGAAGTGGATATGGTATGGATTCGATCGACATGAATCGATCGCAAAATAAAATCGTGAATCTATCGCCGTGAATTGGTAGACAAATTATCAAGAATTCAGTCGATCGACGTGAATCGATCGAAAAATAAAATCGAGAAATTGAGGCCAAAATAGAGGGGTTATCCCACGCTATCCTGAGAGTCCACCTCTACATCAAAACAAACTCTCCATGCAAAGATAGGGAGCAAATACATTGACGGGGCTGCCACTTTATTTGGGGACTTTGTTTTGATATAGACGTGGACTCTCAGGGCAGGGTTGGATATCCCCTCCATTTTGGCCTCAACTTGAGAGCTTCTTATGAGCTTGGGAGTTGATTTCAGAGAAAACCAGTGGCACCATCGTGTTTCTCGCGAACTTTTACATGAGTCAACAGTCAAATCGCAAATTCCTCACACATGCAACATCTCCATTGTATGCTTCACTCATGAGCCGTGGGCATGGGACTAGAGCGTTGTGTACAGGGCTCATTAGGTTGAGGTGACCACAGGCAACCGACGGCTTCGTCGCCGCTGACGTCATTGGCGCTTTCATTCTTACAGCCCTCGGCTAAAGTGCACACCCCTTCTTCCTACCTGTCTCTGGTTCCATCAGCAGAAATACGTTCAAATGAATGCAAATACGGATTAGGTCGCGTTCGTGGACCCCATTGCACTTTCTAAGCCAGAAACCTGGGCAGCGGGTCGATTGTCGAATCGATATCGAATGACCATGATCGATAAAAAACATTGCTAAGATAGGGATTTATCGATATCGATTGAAAGTATTGCTAAGATAGGGATTTATCGATATCGAATGATCATGATCGATAGAAAGCATTTCTGAGGTAGGGATTTATCGATCGGAATCATTCGATAACGATTCAACAATCGAGCCGCTGGTAACATACTTTGTTACCCGTGCCCGCGGGCGTAGGCCATGGGCGTGGTGCCTATTGAGTACCTTTATTGACGAGTCGGAAAATCAGACTTTGATGGCTCCACGCAGTCAGGAAGGTCAGAATCACAATATATCGCTGCCGCCGCACAGTGGATCGAGTCAATCAGAGAGGTCGGACTTGAAATTTTTGACTGGAACTGCAAATTTGATGTTTAATTTATCAAATTTTAAATTTCGAAGGATGATTTTAAAAGAAAATTCTACGAGGAAACCATTGGGACCGCTATCAAAGTCTCAAAGATTCGATTTAACGGAGTTGTAAACTTTTAAACAGGGTGTCTAGCATCAGGAAAAACCGGAAAACCAACCCCAGAAACCCTGGAAAATATCAGGAATTTTGGCCGATCAGGAAAAAATCAGGAAAATCGGAAAAATCTGACGTTTTATCAGGAATTTTTCTCTCTTTGTCAGAAAATTTAGTTTCCGCATGCATTTATGCAATGAAAAATGAGGAAAATATCAGGAATTTTCAAAATGAAAAAATCAGGAATTTTTTTATGAAATATCAGGAAAAAGCATGAAAATATCAGGATTTTTCAAAATTAAAAAATACTAGACACCCTGTTAAAGATTTCAAATTTTGTGCGACTTCTCTCATCGACTCGATCCACTGTTTGCAGTGGGTTTTGTGAGCGCAAAAATAGGATGTTGGCAACGGGGCATTTTCCCTGGTTTTCTTTGCACAATTAGGCACAGCCGAAAGGGAAACGTAACGCGTTTCGCGTCTAATAATTCGCGTTGGTCTTTTCCGATAATCCGATGATTGCCTGTACAATTCGTGCCACAGCCTCTCAGCCTCTCTCCTACCTTCGATCACTGCTCGGGCGCTTGGTTAGACTCCGGGTTATTCTGTTTCGGCGGGAATCTCGTGACGATGTGCCGATTTATCGCCAATCAGTCCGAATTCGTGAAAAAATGCGCCATACGTAAGAATCAGTAGCCGAAAATTCGAATTTTATGAGGTCAAGGAAACACCTTCTCGATAATATTTTGTTATTGTTCCTCATAGGCGGGTCCAAACACCAACGGGCTGATTATTGAAATTGATAGATAAAGCGATTGACAAAGAAGACACAGGTAGTCTGGAACGATCCTATTGGCTGAAATGGGTAGTTTCTATAGTCTAAGGGAGAAATGATGGACTAATTAAAGGGTTTCTCGTGGGTTACCGTTAGTTAGTCTATTTACCTCCTTTGTCCACTGCAACCACCCTTTTTCACCAATACGATCCATCCATTTTCATTTTGTCTTCTTTGTCTATAGCTGCGTCTATCGATTTCAATAATCGGTCCGAAGGGAGGGCAGGAGGGGGGATTCAGGGGCTTCCTCCAAAAATTTTTCGAAATTTTGAAGCACCTTTATGCACTTATGCAGTTTGAGTCAAT